AATCGTAGCCTACATAGTTTGTACAATTACATTTATTTAAATTGAACGTTGAAAGATAATATTGATCATGTTCTATTCTGTAATGTTAATAGAAATCATACACTGTCAGAACAAAAAGGTTGCATTTTATGGATGCAACAGCCGGTCACTGGCAGTCCCTTATGATAATGAACCATGGTTTTACTAAAATGACCATAGTTCAACTGTAGTATTTGTAAATTTGAATCATGTGTAAACAAAAAACACATTTGAACCATGTGTAAACAATATAACCTAATAAATTACAATTAAAGCGTATTGAATGTTAAAATGTGTTTTAAACAAAGTTAAGTGGTCATCATTACCCATTTTACTCTTAGTAATTTAATCATTTAATAAATTTCATAATTTAAAAGTTTAGTTCAGAAGGATCGTATCGGTATCGATATCGACGATACTGCCTTGAAAAATATCGGTATCATATCGAAAACAAAATAAGTGGTATCGCCAGTCCACTCCGTCCAGCTATTTTTAGCTGAACAAAACAGTTCGTTTTGCTGCTTGATATTGAAAGTTGGTGTGTCTTATCATATTATTTTAATGTATTATCTGAAATTATGAACACACTGGTTTGTAGTGCAAACAGTTTTACCGTTTACTGCACGTTGTTATTCTCCTCGTTATTTACCTATAGCAGCTAATGAACCGGAAGTCTCACCCATAGGCTTACTTCCGCGTTGAAGAAAGAGGTGGTATCCACACAGCACACGGGAATTACTGCAATCACACGTGCTCGCACACGCACACTACGGTCACAAAAAGGTGTTGTCAGCGCTGCCTAGTGTAGCAACTTAAAGACTACACATGACATTTCTCACTAGCGAGGTAATAACAGCGCTGTTTAGAGACGCTGCAGCAGAACACTGTTGATGGACGCACAGAGGTAGCCTAATTCACACAAGCTCTCTCTCTCTTTATCTGTGTGTCTCTGTCTCTCTCGCTCTCTTTCTAATAACTTCATTAATAACTGCATTAGAATGCTATCAACGGCTCAAGCCTCCATTACCAGCTTTAAAATTAGGTCGTGGAACTAGCAAAAGAGGCGTTGGATGAGATGCGGAAGAAATAATCCTACTCACAATAGCGATTTAAGTACAAAAATCGGACGAATCCCTTTAAATATATAATCTGATATCTTGAGGTGTGGTAACCGTAGTATAAACGGAATAATTGACTCCGGGCCGTTTAATTATTAGAAAAATAATGCACACCCGAGGTGTAACGGCCACTCCGCGTAATTCAACGGCCCGTCGTCAATTATTCCTTACTTCATTTATAATAGATTAAAATAATTCAAAATATTGAGTAAAGCATTATACCCCTTTTCTTTCCAACCGTTCCACTCTCCTATTTAGCCTAATATAAATAAATGAGGAGTAACCACCAATGCATGTACGTTTTGAAAACATATAATGTAGTTTATCAAATTTGTCCTGAAACTGTAAAAATATTTACTCCAAAAACCGAACTATTTCAGTAAAATAACAGTAGCCTATGTTTACCATTTTTGTCAATACAGTTTAAAGAAGCCGTGAAGGTGAAAAAATGTGAATTTTTGTTATTTTCGCCTGTTTCGCTTTTCTGCTATTATCAGTTTTTCTTCAAACGCTAACATAGTAATACCAAAAAAAAACAAACTGCCGTATATTTAATATTAATATTTTTTATTTAAATATAAATATAAAAAATGACCAAGAATTAAAAAGGTAGAAAAAAAATATGGAAGCTAAGAAAATGACACATATTCTGAAGGCGTCAGTTTAAGTGGTCCCAAATAATCTTTACAAAAACCGAATAAAACTATGTTAAATCATGGTCATTTTTGCGCGTTAAATTTTCCGTTCACGCACCAGCTCGGGCAGGTAGAGGATGTCCGGCACGGTGGTACAGATCCGGAGTCCGCTGGGCAGACTGGACATCTGCTGCGTGGCTGCTGCCATGGTCACACTCCCGCTATCCTCTAGGAATGAGTGGAGTAACGGAGCCACGGGCGCGTCTTTTCAATGTCCTCTGGAGACTTGAAAAACCTCACGTGCTCGCACACGCACACTACGGTCACAAAAAGGTGTTGTCAGCGCTGCCTAGTGTAGCAACTTAAAGACTACACATGACATTTCTCACTAGCGAGGTAATAACAGCGCTGTTTAGAGACGCTGCAGCAGAACACTGTTGATGGACGCACAGAGGTAGCCTAATTCACACAAGCTCTCTCTCTCTTTATCTGTGTGTCTCTGTCTCTCTCGCTCTCTTTCTAATAACTTCATTAATAACTGCATTAGAATGCTATCAACGGCTCAAGCCTCCATTACCAGCTTTAAAATTAGGTCGTGGAACTAGCAAAAGAGGCGTTGGATGAGATGCGGAAGAAATAATCCTACTCACAATAGCGATTTAAGTACAAAAATCGGACGAATCCCTTTAAATATATAATCTGATATCTTGAGGTGTGGTAACCGTAGTATAAACGGAATAATTGACTCCGGGCCGTTTAATTATTAGAAAAATAATGCACACCCGAGGTGTAACGGCCACTCCGCGTAATTCAACGGCCCGTCGTCAATTATTCCTTACTTCATTTATAATAGATTAAAATAATTCAAAATATTGAGTAAAGCATTATACCCCTTTTCTTTCCAACCGTTCCACTCTCCTATTTAGCCTAATATAAATAAATGAGGAGTAACCACCAATGCATGTACGTTTTGAAAACATATAATGTAGTTTATCAAATTTGTCCTGAAACTGTAAAAATATTTACTCCAAAAACCGAACTATTTCAGTAAAATAACAGTAGCCTATGTTTACCATTTTTGTCAATACAGTTTAAAGAAGCCGTGAAGGTGAAAAAATGTGAATTTTTGTTATTTTCGCCTGTTTCGCTTTTCTGCTATTATCAGTTTTTCTTCAAACGCTAACATAGTAATACCAAAAAAAAACAAACTGCCGTATATTTAATATTAATATTTTTTATTTAAATATAAATATAAAAAATGACCAAGAATTAAAAAGGTAGAAAAAAAATATGGAAGCTAAGAAAATGACACATATTCTGAAGGCGTCAGTTTAAGTGGTCCCAAATAATCTTTACAAAAACCGAATAAAACTATGTTAAATCATGGTCATTTTTGCGCGTTAAATTTTCCGTTCACGCACCAGCTCGGGCAGGTAGAGGATGTCCGGCACGGTGGTACAGATCCGGAGTCCGCTGGGCAGACTGGACATCTGCTGCGTGGCTGCTGCCATGGTCACACTCCCGCTATCCTCTAGGAATGAGTGGAGTAACGGAGCCACGGGCGCGTCTTTTCAATGTCCTCTGGAGACTTGAAAAACCTGCTCTTCCATTACTGATACATCCGTGTGGACACACCCTCCGTGAGGGGAGCAGCGGGGCTTAGCGGGATGTGAGTTTGAGGGATGCAGGCTTGTTAATGTGGGTGCATGCACTTGTGGCCACAGGACAGATTGAGTAATATTGAACAGGTCAGTCATCCCAGGTGTTTGCAAATACAGACACACTCGACTGACCAAGTGTTTGTGGAGGGGAAGATGTTTGCCGAGTGAATAAAGTGGGGTCAAAAACAATAGGGCTGTGATACAGTGTAATAGGCCTTTTTCACAGGTTATCTGGTTTTAGCTGATCATCCAGCCTGGTCAGAGCGGGTCAGCAGGCTGGTTTTAGAGGGGATTTGACCACTTCTTTAGCTGGTCAGGCTGGCCCAGCCTAGCCAGGGCGAGAGACCAACTAAACCAGCTACTTTCAGCTTAAACCAGCTAAGACCAGCCAACCTTAGGCTGGTTTTAGCTTTTTTGTTTGTTTGTTTTTTTCCCCAGTTTGAGATAAATGAGAATCTGCCTGCAGCTGCTCACATTACTGCTGGAGGAAAACTTGGAATATATACACCATTTTAATAAATGTTTTAATGTTATTGTTTTTTATTATTGCACCATGTTTATTATGATTAATCTCCAATCTTGTCGACAGTATAATGCTATCCAGTCACTGCGCTCAAACCCAGAGGATATGACATGTTTAAGATGGTAAAACCAGTTATTTTTGAATAATCGACTCTAGGCTGAAAAATATAAATTTATTTGAACAACCCCAATTGTATATAATACATGGTGATTGTATCGGAAAGTAAAGTAAGTGCTTGAAAGCAATGCTAACATTATTATTGTTGAATTTGTAGTCTTTAATTGTAGTTTCTTTAATAAAAAAGCTTGTCTGACTTCAAGGGATAGTTCACCCAAAAATGAAAATTACCCTATGATTTACTTACCCTCAAGCCATCCTAGGTGTATATGACATTCTTCTTTCAGACGAATACAATCGGAGTTATATTAAATAATGTCCAGGCTAATCCATGCTTTATAATGGGAGTGGATAGTAGCCCAAAAGTCCATTATTAATATTAATTATAAATGTTAACTAGATGTGTTCATTACCTGTCTAGCAATGCGTGTTTATGTTGAAATATACAAAAAAACGGGTTGTCTTTTCAAATCTTCTATCACGTGCCATTATCAGTGCGTTCCAAACGGGATATATCGCCCTCCGAAGGGCACTTTGGAGTGAAAACAGTCATGGCCGCCATATTGAGGGGTTGTTCCAAACCGAAGTGCTCAAAATTCAAGTATAGCGGTGCTTTCCAAACGGGATATATCGCCCTCCGAAGGGCACTTTGGAGTGAAAACAGTCATGGCCGCCATATTGAGGGGTTGTTCCAAACCGAAGTGCTCAAAATTCAAGTATAGCGGTGCTTTCCAAACGGGATATATCGCCCTCCAAAGGGCACTTCGGAGTGAAAACAGTCATGGCCGCCATATTGAAGGGTTGTTCCAAACCGAAATGCTCAAAACTCAAGTATAGTGTATCGCCCTCCAAAGGGCACTTTGGAGTGAAAACAGTCATGGCCGCCATATTGAAGGGTTGTTCCAAACCGAAGTGCTCAAAACTGGCAACAAATACATATTACATTACACTACATATACAAATATACATTATATTTAACGTAAAACGTGGGGTCAACCGCAGCGTACAAAATGTGCGATGAAGATTCAAGGCGGCAAAGAGATATCGAGGGACAAATTGTTATTTATTAACATAGTTTTTTGGACTTCTACACCCTTCATCCCTTCGAAGCTCTCACACCAGAGGGTAAACCCTTTGAAAGGATTAGGACGTAGGGATGAGCCCTTCCGCATGGAACGCAGGGTCAATTTATCGAGTTGGCTCATGTGGTTTATGTTTCGCGCTTTAGAAATGTGAACATGCACTGGAAGGATTTCGCGATTGAGTCAGCCCTTAAAATGGCTGACTCCCTGATCAGTGCCCTGACTACTGAACTAGGGAGCTGATTGAGACGCACCCATCATTTCTAGCTTCCAAATGCATCAAATGCATTATACAAATGCATCGCTCCCCTTCAGAAGGCCTTTATTAACCCCCTGGAGCTGTGTGGACTTCTTTTATAATGGATGGGTGCAATTCTTTGGACTTCAAATTTTGGGCTACCATCCACTCCCATTATAAAGCATGGATTAGCCTGGACATTATTTAAAATAACTCAGATTTGATTTGTCTGAAAGAAGAATGTCATATACACCTAGGATGGCTTGAGGGTGAGTAAATCATGGGGTAATTTTCATTTTTGAACTAGCCCTTTAATCAGTATGGCTTGTGCCCTCACGTTTAAATCATGAAATATGCATTGGAATAACATTAAAAAAAATCCCCATCATACCCGATTAATGATTATAAATAGGCCTATGTTTTGATGAAACATCTGTGATGAATTGTGCATCAGTACATCACAATTGCTATGGGCATTGCCATTCATACAGGTTACAGCAGAAGTTATTTTACACAATTATTCGAAGCTTCTGCTTTTCGAATGCGGAAGTGTGAAAAAGGTTGATTGTATGTAGCTATATAACAGTCGATAGGGACAAGGAGTGTCCCTTTTCTCTTCAAGGGCATAGTTTTGAACAATGTTGACATCATAACTTTAAATAAACACATATAAAATATGGGTGAGGTCCATTAATCAGTAGTACTATAGTATAGTATATAGTAGTACTTATAGGAACATGACCCTTGTAAAATATAGCCTATGTCTTTTGATTATCATTCCTTATTGTCGAGCACTGTCAGTTTCTGACATAAATGTTGATGATATATTCAATCAAATAATATGGACCAAGATTCTCAGTAATATATATCAAATTATTATATTTTTTAAAGGCTTAGATTAGATACACACTTTGTACAATGTTTTTGTTTGTTTTTTACAGCTCAAACAAAGCTACAGTTCATTTATGGACATCAGATTCAGATTAGACCAGAATCTCACTTCAAAATCTTTAGATAAAATCTAGTTTAGAAAAGAAGATCTAATTCTCTCTACCTATCTTTTGCAGAATGCTCTGGAAGTATTTGACCATAGAGAAGCACTGCAAACATATCTCTCTTCCTTTCATATAAACACCTCCTCAAAAATCCCATTGTTGTTTGCTTACTATGTGTGTGGCTGGTTAAAGTAGGAGGTGTGTTCCTGATATTCTGCCGGTTAGTTGGCTAGTTAAGGTAAGGATATATTTCTAATATCCTCTTGACTGGTTTGAGGTTGGTTGGTTGGTTTGCTGTTGAGATAATCAGTTTTACTGATATAGTTTATAGATTTTCAGACTTTTTCCACTTAATCTGTTATCAGTTCCTAAAAGTACACTGAAAATGAGTGTAATGTAAAACAACTGTAACACATTGTAAAAACACTACGTTAAAAAAGTAGGTAACAAAAAAATGTTAATATACTATACTATATACTCCAATACTATATACGGGGGGAAACTGTAAAAGATCTAACCAGACATTTCATGTAACTTTACAGTAATTGCTGTTAATTGTACAGTTTTTAGAAGTAAAAAATAACAAATCAGTGTATAATTTAGTCAAAAACTGTAATCTGATATTCCCAGAATTCATTGCGTGACACTCCACATTTGAAAGTATTTTGCTTAAATAATCATGTTTCTTAATAGTTTTTATTATCAGTTATGTGCATTTGGGTTTTATGTTACATCTTCTGTTCTTTAATGAATATTTATTGCATTATTTAATTGTCATGCGTGTTACCATGACAATGCATGAATGACTCACTTCTGTATATTAGTATACTTCAGCTTGTGGAAAAGCTACTGATTTCTTCATATTGCTGTCTCTTTTACCACCTGTATTATTATGGTGGTTGTCAGTATATGTTAAAGGTGTAAAACAGATTTTAGTAGCAGTGTGCGTTGTTGAATTTACTGGTTTACATTCAAATGTTCTTGTTTGTAAATTACAGGTTTATACTGTAAAATTTACAGTTTGTTCTGTAAATGTGTTTACAGTTTTTCTGTATTTACAAAATTATTCCAATATGGGGTGCTGTGTGTACATTAATGAGGAAAAAAAATGAACTTAAATGATTTTAGCAAATGGCTGCAATATAACAAAGAGTGAAAAATTTAAGGGGGTCTGAATATAGCTGTATATAGCAAATTAACTCAAAAGGGAAATGTATATAAAAAATTACAATGAACTATAATTAATTACAATTATTTACCTCAGCTGCCAGTACACTGTAGCAGAATTAATATTACAATCAAGTAATCTGTTCGTCCAGCAAACATTCAGTATAATTTTATATCAAATCTAAGGATATTTTTGTGGCCACAGAAATAACTTTCTTACAGTATTAATGCAATTCACCCATTGGCCTTTGACCATCATGGCCTCCTAACCATCCCCATATCTGCTGATTGGCTTCATCACTCTGTCTTCTCTCCACCAAAAAGCTGGTGTGTGGTGGGCGTTCTGGCGCAATATGGCTGCCGTCGCATCATCCAGATGGATGCTGCACACTGGTGGTGCTTGAGGAGATTCCCCCCTTCTCTGTAAAGTCCTTTGAGTGCCCAGATATATACGCTATATAAATTATTATAAATTGAATTATTATTCTTATTATTATTATAGCATGTAGCTATAGATCGGATCGTAAAAGAGACGCTATTCACAAGTGGTGACAGAACCAGAAACTCATGTAATTTGTGCACAAAATTTTATTAACTAAACACTAACACATAACTAAACTAAACGAACAAACATACAATCACTCATTCATGGGGAGGTTGGAAGTGGATGAATGAAACCATTAGAGAAACCAGAGAATGGAGTTATGGAAAATGAGTGAAACCACTGTTTTAGAACGGGGTCT